GAGGGAAGGTTTAAGTTGGACATCAGGAGGCGCTACTTCACGGTCAGGGCGGCTAGGGTCTGGAACCAGCTTCCAAGTGAGGTGGTGCAGGCTCCCACCCTGGGGGTTTTTAAGAGGAGGTTGGATGACCACCTTACTGGGGTCGTTTGACCCCAGTGCTCTTCCTGCCATGGCAGGGGGTCGGACTAGATGATCTGCTCAGGTCCCTTCCGACCCTAGAAACTATGAAACCTCCCGGAGTAACAAGGAATGACGGCCGTAAGTTGAGAGTAGGTTCAGGTTAGACATCAGGAGGCACTACTTCACAGTCAGGGTGACTAGGATCTGGAACCACCATCCAAGGGAAGTGGTGCTTGCTCCTACCCTTGGGGTCTTTAAGAGGAGGCTTGATGATTACCTAGCTGGGATCATATGAGCCCAGTTTTCTCTCCTGCCCTGGGGCAGGGGGTCAGACTTGATGATCTACTAAGGTCCCTTCTGACCCAACATCTATGACTATGAATCTATGAACACTGTGCAAGTAAACTGTTCCTCTTACGTTAAATGCCTCTTTTTATTTCTATTATAAACACAAAAATTGCTAGCTCTGAACAGGATGGAGTGGGATGGACTTGAATAGAAAATATGCTTCAGTCTGTAATTTGGGCGTGCAGGTTACCAGCAAGGAAATGCTTGGTTTTGGGGGGAGAGCTTCAGTCTATTTCCTGACTATTTTTTTCACAGCGTGATGATGAGAACTATCAGATGAGAGTGTTTGAAATGCCTTGTTATACTTGAGTGTAAGCAGCATATGTGGTTTTTAAATAAGTCTGAATAGAAATTTATCCATCATATGAATTCATTAATTTGTCAAACTGGGGGGAAATATAACTGATAGCTGTCAGATTTTGTAGGTAAAAGTTAACAACTTATCTGTGCAAGTGTCTGTTTATCTATACCATAGAAATTAATATTTTAAGATCTTGGTTTTCCATCATGGGCCTGACTTCATATTCCTGGACAGCCTTTGTCAGTTGCATGTTTGCTGTGCAGGTAGAACTGGTAGATCACAGAGATTTGTATAGCTTTTTGAAACCTCTTCTTTCCCTCTGACTCCTGTCACTGCAGAGCTTAAACTGTGTTTAGGAAAAGCTTAGGCAAGGAAGTCCCTCTGGATTAGAAAGTCTAATAGTAACCAAAGGTTGTTTTCTTAACAACATTAAAAGCAGATGCAAACGAAAGATGATAGGACTGTTTATTACCTGACTAATGTGGAACTCCAGTCTTCTCATATATCTTTCAATTGCTTTGATTTGCTGAAAAAAATGGGAATTAAAACATTTTTAGATGAGTCATCTGATTGCATTTTATATCGATTTCGACTGGAATCTTCTCTTTAATTTTTCCCTAAAATGCAAAGCTTCTTTATATTTCGGAAAGATGTTTGTTCATAAATGAAAAGTGAGATGCTTCATCTTATTATCATTATATTTTTACTCAAAAGTAGGGATAATTTTACCCCCCCAAAATTCAAAAACCCATTCTCATCCTTTCCAGATTTTTTTCTGGTTTACCAGTCAACTGGAAATGGATTTTTCTGTGTGTGAGAGAAATGTATTGTTCCCTCTTTTAGGTTATATTTAAAAATTTCCAATTTTTTTTCTGTAAAAAATTGGGGTTTTACTATATTTTTTGAAACACTGACCATTGTTGGTTTTAATTCTTTCATGGAAAATCCCAAATATTTTCATAAGAGTATTGGGAGAAAAATAACATTGTTTCAAAGTTTTTGTGGAGCTTGAAGGAACTGTATTTTGCATTTGATCATGCCTGTACAGAACAGAGACACTCTGAGGATTCAGTGTACCATTGTGTCATAGGGCAGACCTATGCTGAAGTGTTCTATTAATTATTTTGGCTCTTTCTTGACTAGAGAGATTGTGTCCGATAGCCTTTCCAGACTCTAGATCTGGCCTGATGGCCAGGGTTGAGGCAGAGTGAGGTTGTTTGCTCTGACCTCCTACACAGGTCTTGGGTGTAATGTGGGGCTCTATGTAATCTGATAAAGAAGCTTATTGATGTTACTAGGACTTGTTGACTGACCCCTCAGGGTTTGATCCCCTCCCACTGAAGCCATGACAAGTTGCCCTGGCCTGCTGACCTGCAAGTATCTGGAAAAAGAAAGGCTGATTGCAAGCAGCCAGCATGGATTTAGGAAAAAAAATAGTGTCAATCAAACCCGATTTTCTTTAATAAAGTAACTACTTGGGTGGATGGAGGGAATGCTATGGATATAGTGTATCTGGACTTCAGCAATGCTTTTGACAAAGTCCTACACAACGTTCTCATAAACAAATCTGGAGAAATGTGGGCTGGATAAAGCTACAAGGTGGATAGATAACTGGCTTGATAGCTGCAAGCAAAGGGTAATTATTGACAGGTCCATATCAGAATGGCAGGAGAATTCAAATGAAGTCCCCGGGGGTCTGTCCTGGCCCCAGTGCTGTTCAATGTGTTTATTAATTATATGGATGCTAGCATAGAAAGTTTCTTGAGCAAGTTTGTAGATGACATGAAACTAGGAAGGACTGTGAATATGTTGGAGGATGTGAGCGCAGTTCAGAAGGATCTTGACAGGTTGGAAAGCTGAGCTAGTAATAATGGGATGAAGTTCAATGTGTACAATTGCAAAGTGGAGTAATGTGGAGTAATCAAAAGTAGGTCTGTGTGAAGCTTTGGTCACCGATTCGATTCGGAGGAGATTCAGCCTGGTTTGGCAGCTTAATCTCCAAATCTGAATCGAATCAGGAGACCCATTAATCTCTCCAAATCAAATCAGAACCCTTCAAATGGATTTGGAGAGATTGAATGATTCAGCTATAGACATGGCTTTATACTTTTTTTTTCTATGTACCTTGAGGTACCAGGCACGGCTCGTGAATGCTGATACGGTGGGGTGGATGAAGCATCCCACAGGAGTGTCTGGGTGGGGGGAGAGGGTCCCTTACACACTTGGCAGTGGCCCTGGAAGTGGACCAGAAGTACTTCTGGTCCACTTCCGAGTCTGCTGCAGAGCACACAGGGGACCCCCTGGCTCAGCGACTGATGCCTCCTGTGTCTGGGGAGGCACCCAGGGTCCTCTCATGGCTGATCGCTGAGCTGGGGGGGCTGGGGACCCTCCTATGCTCCCATGAGATGCTCCATCCACCCCACCATCTCAGAGTACACGAGCTGCACCTGGTACCTTGAGGTATGTAGAAAAAAAACATATAAAGCCGTGTCTATGGCCGAATCACTGATTCTCTGAATCAGAATCAAATCTTCAGATTTGGTCCAACTGAATCAGGACAGTGACCTAAATCAGCAAATCAAATCACTGTCCCCCAGATCGGGCCGTATCTGAATCGAATACTGCCCGCTTCGCACCCCTAATCAAAAGATTAAATACAAAATGAGAGACATCTAGCTGGGCTGGGGCACACACTTGCATGCACGTGGGCACTCAGCTCCCAACCCCAGCCTTGGATTAACTCCAAGAGGCTCCGAGATCTACCAGTGGATTGAGATCCACTGGTTGGTTACCACTGTCCTAGAGGCACCAGGTACTGGCTGGAGATTTTGACAGGGGTGTGCCAGTGCTAAAACCAAAGAACAGGTTACTTGCTAGAGGGTCTTGCCCTCCTGCTCAGGGTCAGATTGATCAGCAGTGGTTTTCTCTGATAAAAAAATCCCCAATTTTCAGATTTAAAAAAGTAACCCCAAATCCACATTTTTCTATGATCAGAATGAAGCACCACTAATAGCTAGCTAGATATAGTGCTGTTTCATTTTAACCATGGGAAAATGTGGATTTGGGGTTACTTTTTTATCTGAAAATTGGTGATTTTTTTTTTATCAGAGAGAACCAGGAGCCCTGCTGATCATCATATTTAGGGGCAGGAAGGAATTTTACCCCATGGTTAAATTGGTATGGACCGTGGGGGTTTTTGCCTTCCTCTGTAATGGGGAGCCTGGTCCTCTACCTGGGACCTCTTGAACATACAGTGACAATGTTTTATAGAAGCAGGACACTGGCTGCCGTTGTTTCCCTGCTTTACCTGTGGCAGGTTAGGGTGTTAGGTCTATGTTTTGTCAGGGCTGAGGGCAGTCTGAGTTAGAGCTTAGATCATGGTTGTATGGCATGGTTTGGATAGGGATGATCTTGCCTTAGCAGGGGGTTGGACAAGATGACTTCTGGAGGTCCCTTCCCTTCCAGCCCTGCTTCTCTATGACTCTGTGACCTCCTCTCCCCCTCAGAACTTTGATTGAATTAAGGATTCAAGCCAGCTGCATCCATATTAGAGTACATAGCATTTTTAAATGTAATGTTTTCATTGTGGCACCAATGGCTAGGATGGTAACGTACCTTATCTAGATCATACAGCACTCCCTGCAATAAAGAAAATTGAGATAATTAACTTCAGCATCACATTATTGAATACTATTCTGTCAATGTTTTAGACCAGTTATATTTCACTAGCTGGAATTCAGAACATGAGCGTAGATGGGAGCTCACTATTAGGAGCCCACAGAGCTGAATGAAAGGCCAGCTTTTCTCTATCCCCCTCCCCTGTCTCTTTGATACCTGGAAAAGGTTATCCTTCATCTGCATGATTAGTAAATAACACCTAATTTTTCTGAATTGTGGGATAACACATACCAGGCGGGAGTTTCTTTTCATGTCTTTTAACTGAGTAGTCAACTTATCCAGCTCTGTCTGGTGAACTTCCAGATACTCACTGCAAATACAAACCAGAAAGAGACTCATGAGCTCTAGTGCATTCCAGCAGAGAGTAATTGCTGACCTCTGAAAGAGGAAGATTTGGGCAACAAATGAATGTTCTTGATATCAGCTGGTTTAACACATTTATAAGCAGGAAAACACATTCATATGGTCTTGAATATAAGAATGTATCTCCCTAGTACTTCAAATGTGCAACCCCAAGTCCCCATACCATAAAACCAGACAATAGGAGCTACTGTTGGATAACAGGTTATTTTTTTCAAATGCACTGAACTGCTGGCTTTTGAGTGAACTAATCTGCCATTTAGTTTGTGGGCTGCCTCTAATCACTGCTTTTGTACTGCAAAGGTATTGCTATCTTCTGTGAGGCTCTCTTGTGTTACATCATGGTACCCATGAGGCAAATGTAGAGCAAAAAATATAAGAAGAAATCCTAGCCATGTTAGAGTGGCAGTTTTGCCACTGACTTTACTGGAGTCAGGATTTTACTACAGATGTTCTTGTTTTCCGTGTGAGAGCGGGTTTAATGCTCAAGAGCAGAAGCAAGTAGTTTGATTTACTTGCATATGAGTGAGGATCTCTGCTCCCAAGATGCATTTTTTAAACCCAAAGTAGTAAAGAGAGTGTCAGCATCCACAGTAATAAAAGCTCTTACTCCAGTCCATTCTTTAAGGCCCTGTAGACCTCTTCCATCCTTTTTGGCTGGGGCTCTTTGGGCATGGTGCTGTTCTTATGTCCCAAGTTATGCATTTTCTTCACCTTTGCTTGGGGCTTCTTGAGCGCAGAGGAATTTTCGATGAAGGAATTACATCTGCAAAATAAACATTAAAAAAAACCCAAAACAATAAAACAGCCAGCTGTAAGTTGGGATGTTCTCAAAGGACTGTACTATCCTGAGGGAATTGTTCTGACAGTCTTCTGGCTGAAAGCAATCTGCTTATATGTCTGCCTGTTGGAGGACTGTGCTTGTTTACAGATTAATACGTCTGAGCAGTTCTGTATACAGGCTACCAGTGTTTGATGTGCCAGTTGCTGAGACATGAATAAACACTCCCTTAAGCCTGAGGCTAGCCTCTGACAGACACCTCTGTACATATTATACCATGCCTTTCTCATCTGACACTGCCTAGGAAAACAGCAACAGGTCAGGTGATGGGAACAAGGGTATTTTTAGTCATATAAAACTATACGCTCCAGAATACTAAATTACATTGTTTTACATTATGCGTTTATATAGTGTCTGGTACAGTGGTGCTCTGATCCCAGTCCCAGCATCCAGAAACCAAAGTATTGCAAATAATAACTTTGCTATGTTTGTATAAATCATTTTTTCTCCCTCAAATAAAGGTTTGAGTGGAGAAAACTGCCCCAGAATTGTTGTTCCCTGGTTGATTGACTACCTAGCACTTAGATTTTTACATATGCTCCGAGGTGGGGATGGTGCTTTAATTACAGCAGGTCATGGGAGCTGTTCTAATTAAAGCACCCACAGTGTCTCATGTATTCAGTGTTCCATGCTTCAACATGGCAGTGGGGGTGCTTGTTTGATGAGCTTTAGTTAAAGCATCCCTGATGCTATGTTAAAGCTTGGGAACGCTGAATACACGTGACGCCAAGGCTGTCAGAGCATGCTAGTGTGATGGGCTAGCTGGCAGTGACCTAGCCCAGGGGTTTTGAAAGGGCAAAAGATGATTGGAGGACTTGATATTCTCTTTCCGCACCAATCAGGCCCCAGAGACTCACCCCCCACCCCATGTCCCAATTGGCCCCTTGGGTCACCTGGAGTGGGATAAAAGGGGCAGCATGGGCTGACTTAGGGAAGAGACCAGCAAGAGACAACAAGGAAGGAGCTTCACAGAGCTGGCAAGAGCTGAGCCAGCAGGGCAGGAGCAGTGCCCCGGAAAAGCCTGAAAGAGCAAGAGCTGCAGGCAGCCGTGGGACCCTCAGCAGCGCGGCATGCGGGCGGCAGGAGAGGGTCTCCATTGGGCTCTAGGATCCTCTACAAGAGGCTGCATCCAGCAGGAGAGGCTCCCCCCACTCCAGCAAGGATCTGAGCAGCGACCTGAGGGGTTCCCAGCTCTGCTTCCAGCTCCTCCAATCAGAGGCCGGGCAGCTCGACATGAGGCTGGGGCTCTGGGAAGGTCAAGACCCCTAGCAAGCTAGAGCAGTGTCACCAGTGGTGCCTGTGTGGCAGAGTTCCTGTTTACCGGATGGGAGATCTGGGTTCATAGTCCTAGATGAGGTGACTTGGGGTGAGTGAGATAACAAGAAGCAAATCTTCTTGCAATGGAAAGGGGCCATTGTGTTTCCCCCTCCATGTACCAAGGCCCTGTATTTCCTTGACATTTTGCATTTTGTGCCTTTTTATATTTCACCAACCCGTATTGTTTGTTCTGCTGTTTGTGTTTTATATTTTGTTAACCCTGGTTTTGGTCAGTGATTGTAAGTGTCTAACTTTTGTCGAATC